ACACTGCGGCCCCAACCTGAGAAAGGGCCAATTAAAAGCATTAACTCCACGCCAGGGCTGCAGACCTAGGGCCTGGCCCCACGGGAGCGGCATCTCTGATTTGGAGGGACAACCTGCCAGACCTGGGGGAGGAAGTGGCGAGAGCTCGGCCTCGTTCACTGTTTCGCCCGTCCTGGTGGCAGCAAAGAGCAGGCCCTCGCACGTTTTCCAGCTTCTTGCCCTCGTGGTATCTTTATATCCTCCTGCCACTCAGGAGCCCTGTGACGAGGCCATGGGCAAAGCAAGGCACGGCCCTGACGGATGAGTCCCGGGCGGGGCCCGGCCACCGTGCCCAGAGGGCCGGCGCGCAGCAGGCGCTTGTGAGCACCGTGGGCCGGTAATGATAACATTATCCTTGGGTTACTTACCCCTAATTAATTATAAGCAACTCCCAGTTGTTTTTGAAATTAGCCAGGAGGCTGGGCGGAGAGCACTCAGACATTGGTGCCCACCCGGGAGTGGGGTTCTGAACTTGCGTTTCATATTCAACAATGATGTCGAAGCTTCGCAGTTTCTTCTCTGAGTCCAAAATGTGTCCATCGCTTTTTTTTTTCTTTTAAATAGAATGGACGTTCACTGGGCCCTGGGCACGCATTCAGGTCTCTGCTGAGCCCGCACACGCCCCAGCAGACAAGCCGGCGGCCGCCTCGTCCACAGCCACGGAGAACTCCAGGGTGTGTCTGAAATTACAAACATGCATCCCTACACACGCCTACACACGTGTGTGAGCCAGCTCACCATACACACACGCGCGCATGCGCGCACCCAGCTTTGTGGCCCCATTGAGCTCATATAAAAAGTTTTTTAAAGCGTCCAATGTTAAAAGAAACCTTCGCTCTACCTCACAGGTGCATCTCTCACCTGTGACCTGGAGCAGGAGGCTGAGGATCAGAGAGGTCGGATAAGTTCTCGAGGTCACACAGCTGTGAAGGGGCAGACTATAGGATACGTGTTCATGGAACATAAATTTACTCAGGGACGAGGCTAACTGGATCCCCTCCGGTTTTGTCATCATGTGACCCGCTCCCAGTCCTGGCAGGAGCGCGGAGCTCTCCACACCCCCTGCCCACGGCAGCCACATCGCTGCCATGGTGTCCGTGGTGCCCCGGCGGGCCCCTCACCTTGTCAGATGCTGCAGTCTCTCTAGATGGTCAGGCGGTCTTCCCCAGCCTCCTGCTCTGTCTCCAGTCCTCTTTAATTAAACAGTGGCTCTCCCTGGAAAGCAATTGAATTATCCAATTATGCCCTCCTAACCTGATTGCTATCGTTAACGCTAGGGACTTGGTGACTCAGGTGTTGATGGGGCTCCACAGGAACCAGCATCGACAAGCAGCAGTGACGGATGTGACCCCCGGCTCCTCCTGCCCTCCCCTGCTCACCCCACTCTGCTAATCCCAGAGCCAGGTACTTGGCTGATCATCCTAAATGGTGAATAGTCTGGAATCCCACATCCACGCCACCCAGGGACCGGCTGCCGTTAGCCCGCCCTGAGTGGCTGCCCATGACCTTGACCAGGAAACTGACGTTCAGAGAGATCTTGGTCCACTTATCAATGACTACAGAGGACAGTGGGGGTCACACAGCCCCCAGGTGCCCCTGTCACCCAGACCTGGCCCCCTCTGGCCTCTCGGTAGCACCCACAATATTCATGCCAGCAGCTGCCAATCCCTATAGTGGGTTCACCCTGTAGCTCCCTAGCCTGGAACCCCTGTGTGTGGTTGCCCTGCATTGGGGTGGTCTTCACCCCAAGGACCGGGACCTCCGCTTGGCTCAGAGGGGCTCGGGACGTAGCTGTGAACCAAGGCCCAACTGTGACTATGAAGTCAGAAACGTGACGTTCTGTGCCTCTCCAGCGATGACTGCACTTGCCGGATAAGCTTCCTGGAGAGGACGCCGAGATTCTTCTCAATTTAATGTAATTATTTTGGCTTTTGCTTTTTAATTTGAAATGTCAAGCCTACACGAGAATAATAAAATCGATTCCTGCATGCCCTTCACCTGGTCCAGATCGGCAGCTCACCGCCAGGCGAGCTCCCTCCGACCTCGTGTTGACCATCCTCGTCATGGCGGTGCCGCCGCCCTGCCCCCTGGCCATTCGGCGAGAGCGAGGGGCACAAGCGCCCCTTCCTGGCCGAGCAGCCCACGGCTGCGTCCCCCGAGAATGGGGCCAGTCTCTCTTCTTCCTTCATGTATTTTTAACCTTATTGTGGTGAAATTCACATAACATGAAATTAGTCATTTTAAAATGAGCACATGAGGGGCCCTGAGTCCATTCCGAGCGTGGATGTCACCCCATGATGGTCACGGAGCTGTGACAGAGAGCCGGTCCTTGTAGCCCAGCAGCTGCTCCCCGGGCCTCCCGCTCCTGGCCAGCGACTCTCTGCGGGGCCTCAGGACGGTGACCAGATCCAGGGGCTGGATGTTGACAGAAAGTGCTCCCTGCTCGGCAGCCGCATGCACATTTTGCTGATTTTCCCAATGTTGCCCTTTTCAAAATTCTCTTCTCTTCGACCCAGGATCCAGCCCAAGACCCCACCTGGCACTAAGTTCTGCCCCTTTAGACGCCTGCAGTCAGGACCAGGCCCTTGGCCCTTTCAAAGAAACCATATACAGGCCTGGACCTTTAATGTCCGGTAAGTTAAGAATTTCAGTGAAGTCGCAAATAGTAGAGTTCGCTCTACCCCGAAACCCCATCGGCCCCCGGGGGTGGTGGTAGCCGCTCCGACAGCCACAGCACATTCATCAAAACGAAGACATGAAAATGGCTCAACACTATCATCCCCTTCAGACTCTGGATTTCACCTGCTTCTCCCTCCTGTCCAGAAAAATCTGTTTACGATCCCACTTTGCATTTAGCCAGGGTTGTCTTTCATCTTTGGTGAGAGTGATTGACGCGTTACCTTCCCACAAGCAGTGGCATTAAAGTTTCTCAATAGCTCGGTCATGGCTGTTCTGGAAGGGAGCAGATCAGGGGTGCCGAGATCCCCACGTCGGTCAGTAAATGGAGAGGCAGGACCCACACTGGTGAGTCAGGCTCCACAGCTATTCTCCTGTATGTTCTCTCTCTCTCTCACACACACACACACACACACACACACACACAGAGCTTAATGGCTTCATGGCCTTTGGTGTAAAACATTCTCATGAAGTGTTCAAGCATTAAAAGGATTCCTTACTTTACCCAATAGGTACATTCCTGAAAAGGGAGCTGTTTTGTAGAATTAGTCACTGGAAAGCAGGTGTGTCTCGGCAGCTCGCTGCGTGCTAAGCGCTTCACCGGCCCTACCCGCCCATTTCACAGATGTGCGGCTTGCGCGGGGAGGACATGACTCCTTCCAGGTGTCAGCGGAGCAGGGACCCGAACTTCGCTCCGTCGTCCCTCCCGCGGGGTCCCTATCCCCCAGGATGGACTCTCCCGGTCTCGAGGGCCCCCCGCAGCGGCGGGCAGGGGTTGGGGGAGTGGCTGCAGGGGGACAGCGCCGGGGAAGCCGGTTCGGTGCAGCCGGCGCGTGTCACCCACGGAGCGTGCTAATCCGGGGGCTCCGCTTTAATAACGGGTCCAGCTGGTGGGAGCGCTTATTTCAGCAGAGTGTGAACGCTGTTGCCATGGAACGCAGCCTTGTACCCAGGGAGCAGGAATCAGGCGGGAGAAGACGCTCGGGCTGTTTTTCCCTGTCCCCAAATTTCCTTCCCCTCCGTGCCTCTCGCCGCCGATCCTCACGGCAGCCGCGTGGAAACTGGCACGCGAGGGCGGTTGGAGTCGAGGCGCTCCGCTCTGTAGCCCCTGTTCCCCATATGTTTATGAGCCGCCCTTCTGGGCCGGGAGGGGCGAGCTGGTGACTTTCCCACCATGTGTGAAAATAGCAGCCGAGCGGGGAGCGGGCGGGATTGGTCCACGCGAGCACCGAGCGCGGCGCCTCTTTTCCAGCAGGTCCCGGCTGCTCCTGCTGCTCCTGCTGAAATCTGGTTTGGTCTCTTACATGCAAGATGGGGCGGGCCCCCCGGAGAGGGTGCACACGCGGGAGCCGCAGCGCGGAGGCGCCGAGCCCTCCTCCGGAGCAGTCCTGGGGTCCCTTCCAGCGAGCTGGGCACCCCGACCTCCGTTCTCACTCACAAACAAAACAGAACAAATGTTGCAGCGCCTGGCAGTGGGCATGGAGGTGGCAGTTACAGAGCAGGGAGCCCGCTCCAGAGGCTCAGAACGGGAGCTGCTGCTGCAGTAGTGTCCTGTCCCTCCTGCCCTCCCTCCTGCCCTCTTTCCTTACCAGGACGAGTAAGCAGAGGTGGGATAAGGGGGAACAAGACGGGGGAAAGTGGTGAGGGGCCCCTGCTGCAGCTCCCTGCAGGCTGGCAGGGTCCTGAGCGCACCCCAAGCCGCCGCGGTCGCGCCGGGCCCTCGCTGTGGCTCCACACCCCGCGTTTGCTGTGATGCTCTAGACACGCTCCCGAGCATCCGCAGCCGCCCGTCCCTTCCGTGCTGGGGGGTGGCTCTTCTTGCTTGGCCGCATTTTGCAGATGAGGCGACTGAGGTCAAGAGAGTGCGGCCCACATGTCGGGGCCACCTCCAGGCGGGAGACGGCTGCACGCGGCCCTCTCAGGCGCAAACGCCCCACGCAGTCCGGGCGCCAGGGCAGCGCTGATGCTCCAGGACGATGGTGCTCCAGGCTGACGGCCAGAGACGGCTGTTCAAAGCAGGGGTGTCGGCCCTGCAGCAGGCGGAGTCACCTGAGACCCCCACTGGTGCCCAGATCTGCGCAGAGGCAGCCCCGGCGCCTTTGGGAAGCAGCCGGGCATGTTGCCGGAGGAAGCGGGCAGGCGGGCCCGGAGGCAGCAACGGAGGAAGCTGGGCCGGAGGTCAAGTGGGACTTTTCTTTTTTCTTTTAATTTTATTTTTTTATTCCCCATACAGTTGCAACCCCCTTATTTTGACCCCAATCCCTCCTTTCCCCGCCCCCCCATAGTGTGTCTCTGGGTTAAGTGGGACTTTTCAACCTTCTTTTTGGGGCGCCGAGTGTGGCCAGGGTATGGAATGGAAGCCAAGCAGGCGCGAGGGGTCCCCTTTGCGTGTGTCATCGATGGGCTGGCCGGGCACTCCCCAGCGAGGCCCACACCCCCCAAGGTCCAGCAGAGCAACAGGCTCACGGGGCCTCGGGCCTTGGGTGTGCGATGATAAGGTGCCTCCTGCAGTCCACTGCCTGGTCCTCCAGGCTCCAGAGCTGCTGTCCTTCCTGCCCTCTGCCCCCTCCTCCTCTCTGCACCTGAAATCACTGGGGTGCCTGGAAATGCCACAGGAGAAAGCCCTGGGCAGGCGTGGGGGCAGCCAGGGTGCGTCACATGCCCAGGGGGTTGGTGGCCATAGTTCTTGTGCCCTTTGCTGGCTGGGGGTGCTCCCGGGAGGATGGGAGCTGGACAGGCTGCTGCGGTCAGTGGGGACGCCGGGTCGGACGCACAGAGCATCCGCGTCTCGCCAGACTGATCTCCGAGGTGTCCCCAGAGCCGCGGCTGCCGGGCCCCGCGTGCGCACGGGCTTGCTGGCGGCTGACGACTCTCTTCCGGGGGCGCGCGGGCTGACATGGTGCCGGCAAGAACTAGAACGAAATTTGATTTTAAATATTCCAATTAGCAACTATGCTGATCCAATTAATCCACTAATTACTCGGCTTTACCTGTGTACACAGGAGTCCCTGAAAAGCAACAGCCTCTCACCCCTCTTCCTCCTCGACGCTTGCCCATGCAGCAGCTGGCAAGGGTTTCCCGAGCGCCTGCGCAGGGCGGGCCACGGAAGCTGCCAGGCAGGGCTGAGCGGTGCGGGGAGGGCCGGGCCCAAGGCCGTGTGGACGGCGTGGAAAGGCTGGGCCTGAGGGGAGACTCAGGAGCCGGTGGGCGCTGCGGAGTCCTGGCCCCATCAGAGACCCCGCGCCTGCCCTGGGTGTGACGGTGGTAGAGCCGCACCCTGCGTCCTCTGCCGTCCCGGTCAGTGGGTGCCCCTAGCCCCGCCAGCCAGCGGTCACCACTGGCCGCCGGAAGCTGAGAGCTGCTCCGTCCCCCTTCCCCAGGCCGAGGGGACATGGCGGGGACGCTGATGAGGGCTGCCGCGTGGCAGAGCGGGGGTTCGAACCTGTTCTCTCCTCATCCCCCCGATGCCGCTCCCTTCCCTAGGCAGACCTCTGGCCTCCTGCAGCTGCTTTCTGGATGGATGGCAGGTGGAGGCTGGGAAGGGGAGGCAGGCGGGAAGCAGGAGGGCGGGAGGGGGCAGTCAGGAGTCACGAACAGGAGCGTCTGGTGATGCTGAGGCTCCTGAGCCCCCTGACTCAGCAGGACATTAATAATCTGCCACAGCCCTGGAGGGCAGTGCGGGGTGAGGGCCGGTGGCGCCAGGCCCTGCGGCAGCTCCGCGCCACCTGCGCTCACCTTGGCCGTCCCCACAGCAGCTGGACGGGCGCAGACGCTGGTGCTGCTCCGCCCTCTGCGCAGCCCGGGCAGCAGGCACGCTCCATGCCCCGAGAGGGAAAGTGCCGAGTGGGCGGGCAGGGGAGCAAGCCTCAACTCCGGGAAACGTCGCTCCCTGCCGTATTGTCCGATGCTTCCGTGTGCCAGCGACGCCGGCCTGACAGAGGACTTTCCCAAGCGTCTGCATGTGTCTGGCACGGTTCTGGGCTCCCCGAGGGCACGCGGAGACCCGTCCCCGCCCTCCGGGACAGGGAGCACGCAGGGTCCTCAGCTCCGCCCCCTCTCCCAGCAGCCGGGCTGGTGAAAGCAGCGGCCTGTCCTGGTGCCCTGGGGCGTGCTCAGAACAGTGGGATCAACACTCCTTGCTGCGACTGCCCCCTCTGGATCCTCCCTGCCCCCCACTTCCCCATCCTAGAGTCTGCCTGTGAGGGAGCAGACAAGGCAGCCGAAGGAGAGCCACCTCCCCTCTGAACAGAAGCCTCTGCTCCCCCAGGTCCGCTGGGCTGAGGTGAGCTTTATGGGGGCAGGAAAGCACAGGTTCTCAGAGGCCACGTGACTCTTGGGGTGGGGTGGGGGCTGCTAAACTCGGAGGCACCTGTAAGACCAGAAGTCACCTTTCCGCCCTGTGGTGGGAGATCCTAAGGTGGTTGTCTAGGGTCTGAGGGGATCTCGGGAGGGGGCTCTTCTCGAAGCCACCTAAGAGACCCTGAGGGGCAGCAGATCCCTGCCTGGCCCCAGGTGACTACAATAGTGGGCCCCGCCCGCACAGGTGCAGGCCAACCCAGGCAGTGCTGGGGAGGCGGGAGTGAGGTCCAGACACCCGCTACTTCCCTGGCCCGAGCCTCTGCGGGGCAGTGGGGTGGCCTGGAGGGATCTGAGGAAGGTGTCTGGGGAGGCGGGGGGCTCTGGGGGGCCAGGGCAGGTCAGCTCATGAAGCATTTCAGCAACCAGGAGCAGCAACCCTCGCACAGGTCAGCTAAGCAGAGCCGGCCTGAAGGTGGACGCCTCGCGCTAAGAGGTTCTTTCTGGAAACGGTCTTGTCACATCTGGCAGAGGAGTCCCAGCCTCGCCCCGGCGCCCAAGGCCCTGCCCACACACAGCGGCTGCTGGAACAGATCAGACGTTTAGCTGCTCAAGGAGAGCTCCCACGGCATGCAGGGAAGGCGCCCTGAGCACACCCCAGGCTGCTCCCCGGCCGCCGCCCCTGCTGTCCTGGCCAGCCCCTGGCACCGGGGCTGCACCTGACCATGCGCGTGGTGTGTGACGTCAGCCTGCCAACAAGCCCGCTCTCAGGGTCGGGGTCGCTCCTCTGCCCAGGGCGTCATCCTGAGGACAGTTCAGGGAAACATCCTCCTGGTGAGCTCAGACTCCTAGTCCCGGGGCCTGGGGTGGCTGGCAGTGCATCTGGAAATGTGAGCACAGGAGGGAGGCACCCCCAGGCAGCACCTGCTCAGCCCCTCATGTCACAGAAGATCTTATGGTTCAGAGAGGGGGATGGAGGTGTCAGCTGGGGGGCAGAACTGGGCGAGGAAGCCTGGATGGGCAGAGTGAGGCCTCAGGGGCCTTGGTCAGGGGGCAGGCCAGTCTGGCAGGAAGCCTGGTGCAGGAGGGTAGCAAGTTCATCCCCGTCTGAGGGGGTTTCCCCCTCTCTAGGTGGAAGCAAGTAAGAGCCCCCAAATAATAGCCCCCAAGCTTGGCACTCAGACAATGGGGGTCTCCAAACAATCCCAGGTGCTCTCTCCTGAGCCTGCTGTCAGGGGGAGCCCCTCACAGCCCATGGGGCATAACGGGGCGGGGCCTGGGGAGAGCAGGGCCTTGGCTGCAGCCTCCCGGGGGCGCACTGGGGGAAGCTGGGTCAAGATGAGTCGGTTTGAATGAGATGTGGTCCGTCACCCTATTGGACCTGAATTATACTCCTTTTGGTTCGTGGTGTCGCCCCAATTTGACGGTCTCATGAGCTCAAAGCCAAAGCTGACATTTCTTCTTCGAGGTGGAGTGAGTGTGTCCTGTCCCTGGAGGCCCCGAGGGCTTCGAGGGGGAGGGAGGTCATGGGTCAGTTGGGTCATGGGTCAGCTGCTCCCGGCTGCCTGATGGCACTGGGGTGGACACATATGCCCCCATGAGCACCCCAAAACTGCGTTTTCATTGATAGATCCTCACCAACTCTGAGAGGTGGGTATTATTATTTTTTCCCATTGAACAGATATAAAATTGGGGTGCAGAGGTATCCCCAAGATACAAGTGGCAACACGGAGATTCTAAACCCAGACAGTCAGGTCTGGGGCCCCAACTCATAACGCCAGCCTTCCTGTAAATGTGGCCCAAGATTTTTAGACTAAAAGAAAAAACTTTGGGGGGGTCCTCTGTCAGGCAGAAGGTCAGGAGCTCAGATGACAATAAAAGCAGTCAGGTGAGCTGCTGCCTCATTCTTCTTGGACCACGTACACCCATCTGCATGGACCCCACGCCTCTCTAGGCCTCTGCAGAGTTAAGGGCCCCCTGGGAGTGGGGGCGGATATGTTAAGCTGGAATCCAAGAGGTTGTGGGTGACAGTCCAGGCCAACAGAGCGAGGGAGTGGTGGCAGCCGCGAGCTGTCTCCATCCGTCAGGCCAAGTGGCATTAAGAGCGGAAGGGAAGCAGGTTCCCCAGATCAAGAGTCGAACTTCAGGTGCCTCCGTGGTGGCACAAGGGGTTAAGACACAACCTATGAAGCTGTCCACAGCCACTGCACACAAGTTCGATCCCTGGCCAGGGAGCTACCCACACGGCATGGCAGACCTCTCCTGACTCGCCCACTGCTCCCCTCAGCAGTGTACGTTGGACAATCTGCCTGTTCTGTTCCCCACTCTGTCTCTAGTGAATCCTCTCACCCTCCACACCTCTGGCCTGTACCCCAGCTCTTGTATGCATAAATAAATAAATCTTCAAAAAAAAAAAGACTCGAACTTCGTGAGTGATGGTGCCTGCAGCACTAGGGAACCCCTCTCCTGAGTCCTGCCTTTGGGCAGCACAGACCAGCCAGCAGCGAGGGAGACAGCCAGGAGCTCCCCGGAGCAGCCACGCGTCAGGGCCGGGTCACGGGCTCTGGGCACCTGGACAGCGGCCCGGCAGGCGCCCCCTCTCCCTGTCCAGGGCTTTGGTGGCCGGGAGTCTGCTCCTGCTCCGAGCCATCAACAGTTTAATGAGAACATTGCTGCAGGCAGCTCGGCAGAGGTGAGTGTGTGTGAGGCGGGGGGAGAGAGTCGAGAGAGTCGCGGGGACTGCCTCCCTGGCCACTTGTTTCTCTCGCTGCGGTTGTCGCAGGATTTCCAGCTGCCCTTGGTCACTGGGCTCCTGCCGTCAGCCTGGCCACGCGCAGCCCTCGTCCGCCTAGGACTGTGCATGGTCGCCCACGGGTGCCTCTGGGGCGGGTCCTACGTGGGGCCCTTCTTGGGTGATGCTGTTGATTGGGGGGCAAGGGGTAGGGAACCTGAATGAAGATGTGGTGCTCAGAAGGCCACTTGGGGATCCATGGGGCTGCCAGGGGAGGGGCTGGGGAGAGGCAATGGGCTGGGGGGGGGGGTCAGGGGAAGGGAGGCCAAGGTGGGGCAGGCACGTCTGTAGCTGGGGATTACTCTGTGATGAGCATATGTCTGAGAGGAGGGCACATCTGCTGTGCCCTCCTGGGGCCCAGATCACCTGCTGGGTGAAGAAGAAAAATGTTTTCCTCTAGGTAAGGAGTTGTGAGGTGGGGGCTGCAGGAGGGGGAGCAGCTTCCTCTGACGACTGGTAGGTTTTCCCTTGGAACGTTGCCTTATTCAACGCCTCCCTGCCTGCTGGCGCACCCCTTCCCTGTTCGCCTCCAAACACCCCTGGTGCCCACAGCCCCTCTAGACGCCGGCTCACCTGGTGAGAGACAGGGGAGCATAAGGAGAAGGATTCCACCAGCGAGGGCGGCGAGGCTCTGTCTTCAACACCCCAACTCTCCTACCCCCACTCTGAGAATGGCGAGAAAAATCCCCCAAACAGGATCAGAATGGGTAGGGAGAGGGGTGGGGACTCGACCTCCCAAAAGTGAATTCCGAGTCACACTTGGTGTTCCAGAACCACAGGCACGAGGAGAGCTGGGGCTGCACCCCCTCATGAACCCCATTACTCTCCTGGCAGGGAGTAGGCTCCTCTGCTGGGCCCCAGCCTCCCCCGCCCCAGGACTGTGGACTCCCCTCATCACAGAGCAAAGGCCTTGCTCTGCCAGGAGCAGCCCCTCGGGGGAGCCAGGGCCAGCACACCCTGAGCATGTTACAGATCCCCCCACATTCCCCTGCGTTCCCAGCCCCTGGGGGGCAGGTGCTCCTATCACCCTCACCTGACAGACGAGGAAAGGCTGCAAGAGTGTGAGTGAGGTCTGGGTCCCCGAGGACCCCAGGAACTAGTGTCCTTGGAGCTCGGGAGTGTTCCTCTCCCCAGCGGAGAGCTAGGATGTGCTCTGTCCTGCACTTGGGGTCCTCCAGTGCCTGTTGGTGGTGCTGCCAGGCTGGCACACTCGACTGGGCTTGCACACACATGCGGGTGTGTGCACACGGCCACACACACTCAGCACTCACATGCGCACACTCACAGACATACACACTCACCATTCCCCAGATTCAGGCTCCTCCCCGGCTTGACCTGACAATGCCTGGCACATAGTAGGTGCTTAGTGACCCTTTGTGATGGGCACGGGCAGCTTGGCACCTCAGCATGGGTAATCCTGTCAGAAGCCACACTCTGAAGGCAGGACCAGGTGGGCTTGCCGCCATCTGCACCCCACCCAGCGGAGTGCTGGCACATAGTAGGTGCTCAGTGTGTAACCCAGACTCCCATCAAGGGGAGGTCCCCCAAGAGCTAAGCTGGCAGGGCCAGGGCAGGTACCGCCCCCACTGAGAGAGGAAGGCCTATGCTCCTTTGCTCCCCATCTCCTGGGCCGGGGGCACCCCTGGAGACTCTGGAACGCACAGCAATGAGCATTGCTGTGGGGCCTGGGAGCCAGAGATCTTCTGTCTGCTGAAGATGCTCAGGGCACCCCTGGGTGGAAACCCCAGCTGTCTGCCGGTCCCCCAGGAAAAGGGGTAAAAGCAGGGCTTCTTTCTTGCCGCAGCCACCCCCCAGCGGGGCCAGCAGCACCACCTGAAGGCGCTGGGCCCAAAGTCAGCGCCCTGCGGTGCTGCCTGGGGCTCAGTGACAAGATGTCCCAAGTGGGCCACAGGGGGAGGGATCCCTACCAGCTTCTGGGTGTGGGAGTGCGGGGGACACTCAGCAGGCAGAGGGAGGCAGCCCCAGCGACATCTCCACCCATGCAGCAGAGCCGTCCTGATCTCCCAGGCACCTGCTGTCGTGTGCCCTTAAGAAGACCCCCAGCCCCTTTGGGCCCCCCTCTTCTGCTGACAGCTGGAACTTCATCACCAGGAAGGAAACTCTTCTGGGGTCTAAGCTTAGGGCCAGAGACCGCACCTCAGCCACTCCTCACCGGCCCCGACTCAGTCACCCCGGGCAGATGGCACGGCCTCAGTGTTCTTGTGTGAGCAAGGAGCAGGAGCCCAGCCCCACCACGGGGCAGCGGGCGTGTGGCAATGCGGGGACACCAGCAAGTGGCTGGCCCGTGCCTGGTGTGGAGAGCAGAGCCCCCTTGTTTTAGGCACGTTCTAGAATCCAACAGGTTTCAAGCACTAGCTCATTAATCTTTACACCACGCCTAAGGGTCGGGTACTGTTATTACCTCGTTTTCCAAAAGATGCCACCGAGACTGGACAAGGGAGTCCTTTGCCCGAGGCCACGCAACTGGGAAATGGTGAGTGGGAATGTGAGCTCCAAATGTGTGCTTGATTCTGGAGCCTCAAACCCCTACCATTACCATAGTAATTGCTCATTTAAGACCTGGAAGGAACTCTGGAAGTCGACCCATTTTACAACTAGGAAAACTGAGGCCCACAGAGGGAGAGGATTGGGTTAGCCCAGAGCTGCTGCTGGGACCGAGCCCAACTCCCTCCCATTTCTGCTCCCATTTGTTGAATACCTACTGTGTGCCAGCTCCAAATGCTTTCCATGCATCGTTGGATGTGAGTCTTATCACAACCTCAAAAGACTTATTTTAATCTCATTTTTTATTTGGGTAAACTGAGGCAGAGAGGGGCAGTAGCTGACTCAAGGCCACAGCTAATCACCAGGCCGGGGCCGCCACCTTCCCACAAAGCTCAAACTGACCCCAGAGGCCTGGGGGCCCGGGCAAGGTTCCCAGGCAAGCCCCCCCCCAGGCCAGACAGGGCACAGCAGGAGACCCCAGCCAGGATGACACCGCCCAGGGAGATGGGCTCAGAGCTGGGCCTGGCAACCGAATGCCGTTAACCCCCTGCCTCTGCGGAGAGAAGTTTATCCAACAAAATGCAGGCGAGCAAGGAAGGCATCCGCCGCTGCCTCTCTTGTCAGAGGCAGCGCTCATCTCGGGAGATGTGTGGATGAAAGGCGCCATATAAAATGCAATCAATTATGAATCACCATTACTGAATTAATCACATGTATGATTAATACGGTAATAATAATTAATGGGAGTATGGTCTGGAGATGAGAGCTGAGGACTGGCAGGGAGGAGTCCGGGTGCTGCTCACAGCCTCTGCCGCTGCCTGGAGGTGTCACCTTGGGGGCCCGCGCTGATCTTGGGTCTGGGTCTCTGTCCCCCGGCCCTGCCTTGGCCTGCGAGCGGCCCCAGGGACGCCTTGAAACCCCAGATGCTCCTGGGCTAATCCTCTGGATCCTAACCCCTGCTATGGCCACATTGCAACTGCTCAAGGTCAAAGGGACAAAGCAAAACCTTGGTGTGGCATAACCGAGAACAGAGCGAATGAGGCAGCAGGTGGGAAGTGGTGGGAACAGCTTTTGAGCCGACCCTTGACCCAGGGGGCTGAGCTCATTTTCCTGTCCATCCTTCTGTCCGCCTGGATCAGGACTTAGCTTCCCTCGGAAATCCCCAAATCCCTGTTACCTCTCACTGCGAAGCCTGTAGATCATTTTCACATGTGACTTCATCATTTCCTATTCCTGGTCTGTCCCACGCTTATTTCCTCATTGTAAAGGCGCGGGCAACACAGGAAGAATGTATCTATTTACATAATAAAGCATGTCATCCTACACCCCCCCCCCAGCTCCCCTGTCAGGACTTTGGTGTGTATCTTTATTTTATATAATATATTATATATATGAAAAAGGACATAACACCCTTTTTGAAAAAATAGGTGGAATAAAATTAAATGCATTGTTCTGCAGATGCCTTTTGATAGTGGATTCCACATACACAATTCAAATTAAAACTGTGCAGTGCAGCCAAAATCCCACCAATGCAGAGGGTGATTAGGCGGCTGGTGAGAGGGGAGCCAGCGATTATTTTTTGGGAGACTCATTAACACTTTCCTGCCCCCTCCCTCAGCTCCTTTTCTTTGCTGGGAAAAGGTCATTTGTCATCAGGGACCTTAATGACATTTAAAAATGAACGTCTCTTGACCACCTGGTCCCTGCGAGGCTGGACTCCTATTTGTTTCCCATCTGGGAAAATAAGCACTTGATTTTTCACTTGAAAGGAACATCAGCTCCCCGAGACCGCCAGGCCAGCAGTGGACACGGGGTCAGCGGGGGGGGAGGCAATCTCTTTGCAACGTGGGGGAGAAACTGAGGCCACGAGTGGGGAAGAGCTGTCCCCCAGGGCACAGCACTAGTTAGGGGCTGAAAAGTCCACAGTCCCATAATTTTCAGGATCTAGAATTGGGGAGCCAGAAGACAGGTGCCAGCACGGTCCCTGAGGGGCCTGCTGGTGTCCGCTTGCTGGGGTGGCAGGCGTGTCGGGGCTGGAGGGCTCCCGGCACGGCTTCCCGTGGCACAGGGCTTTGCCTCGGGATCACTGATGTCATCCCAGCAGTAAGGGGGGGAGGTGCACCCTGACCCCCTGTGCTGAGATGAACCGCAGATGAGAAGCACCCTCCTCCATGAATCCTGGCTGTTCTGACAGCATCCAGTGTCGGTGGTGATGGAGGAGCTGGGCGTTTCCCAGGAATTGATGGCCCTGCCTGGGGCGACAGCAGGCTGCGGGCCAGCCCCATCATCACTCACCTGCCCGGGAGGACCCGCACCTCGCCCTCCACTGCTGCCTGCGGGCTGAATGCTTAACACCCGGCCTCTGGGATCTGCTCTCCTCCAAGGAGCCTCCTCCTGCCGGCTGCCTGGTGGCCAGGGACAGGTCACGGGGCCAGCAAGCATCTACTTCCCCAGACACCTTGGCGGGGCAGGGGTGGGGTCTGAGAGCACATGCCTGCAAGAGGCGCTTGACCATCTTGCTTTGAGCCCCCCAGGAGGGGAGACTCACCATTCAGTCTCACAGATGGGGAAACTGAGGCCCAGAAGCAGCCTGTGTCACCCCCCCACCAGGTTGACCAGTAGGTCAGGCGGTGGCAGCGAACCACTGGGAGCCCGGAGCCCAGACCACCCGGGCCAGAGTCTCCCTTAACTGTATGACCTTGGGCAAGTTACTGAACATTCTAAGGATTCCCCATAACTCTCGGCCTTCGCTAATCCCAGTTAAGTCACCAGGTTGCTGGGAAGAACCGGCGGGTGCGACACGGAAACCCGTTTTGATGGAGCCGGGCGTGAAACGGGTATCAAACAATGTCAACGCATCGCCACTGTTAAAGCAGATGACTGTCTGGCTCCTCAGCCTCTGCTGCTCCACCTCGAGAGTGCAGATGCCGTTCCTGCTGTTTGCTGCACAGACCCCTCTCCCGCTCAGGGGGGCCAGGGGCAGGGAAGGGTTAATTAAGGTGGAAGTGGTAGACTTGGGGCGCTGGGCTCCACACTTGCTCCCATTCCTGACACCCTCTGTGACCTTGGACGGGGCCGCCCACCCCCTCTGCCTCAGGCTCTTTGTTCTTGATGCAGCCAAATGGCAGTGCTCGCTGGCTGCCTGCGTGCTGCAGGGAGGACCCACCCTGCGGGAGGCCTGGAGCACCCTAAAACCACCGGCCTCCCTGGAAGAAAGAAGACTCGTCCCCACAGCCCCGGAGGCCGCCTGGCAGGGAACCTCTGCGGGTCCGAAGAGCCCGGGGCTGCCCCTGCTGCTGCCAACTCCCTGGCCTCTGCCCTGGAGTCCTCCCACGCCCTCCTCCGGGCTTGCCAGGGAGTGAGGCCCCACCTGCCCCCCTACTCTGCACTCCCTCCGGAGCTGGCTTGGCTTCGTCAAAAGCAGGGCCCATCAGGGTGGAGGCGGCGATGTGTCAGCTGGTATTCAGGCTCTGGTTGTGCGCTCAGAGGCTCCCCCTCCCCAGCTCCCCAAATCCACCCACCCACCCACCCCTTTACCCACTGCTCGGGGCCTTCTGGGTGGCAGCGCTTCACAGAGGGAGCCCGGCAGCGCCCTGGGCTGCCGGGGGTGGGCGGACTGACTCACTCGGCCCCTCCTGGGCGCCCAGGGGGCAGCCCCCACCCCCATGGGCGCTGGTCCCCGGCCGGGCCCCTGGGTTTGGGGAGAGGCAGCTGCAGCCCCCGCGGCGCCGGACCCCGGCCGGGGCCGGCCGAGGATGCGCCGCGCGCGCCGGGACGCGCCGGCCCCCGGGCCGGGAGGCGATGTC